TTCCTTTTACAAACTAGTATTTCTTATGATCATTTTTAGTATTTTTCTTAAAACGATGGAGTCCAGCTTTGAATGTTTCCCAAAATGGGTTTCATGGGAGAGTTCATTTTGTCTACTGCATTCCCAGGGAAGCATGTGGTTAATGACGTGCCCCTTTGCACGCCTCGCAGCCCACCACCTGCTGAAGAAGAGAGGTGCTCTGATTGGTTCCTAGCATTCAGGTTCCATTAATGCAGTTTTGGCAGCCTGTCCATCACCAGTGCCAAGGGCCGGGGATTAACCTGAACCTCTGTGGCTCCACCCCCAGAGAAAATGGGGGCCTAAGGTGTTATAAATCCAGCTGGCTTTTGAATTCAATATTCTAAAAATATACTACAAGAAAAGAACATATTCTCACTACTCAGAGTGTGGATACACTTAATATAGTAGCCGAAAGGTCACTGAGTTAGCTACTGAAAAATAGAAATGAGGATGTGAATATCAATGAAAACAAAGGTTTTTCTACTATTATGTTTTTCTTTCTACAATCAGGTTTGCATAGGACAAAGTAAATGGGCAATTTAATTTAGCAATTGGTTAATTCATTGATGGAGTCTGTTAATTCTAACAAACCAAAATTCAAGGTTTTGGGTATGGACCATTTTCAGCTTCTTTGCCTCAATCACTCAATCCTGAGTCGACTCAGATGTAAATCTGATTAACACCAAGGAATCAGTTCTCATGAAGACTTTTGCTCTCCCAGGTGAATATACGTGTATGAAGAGAATGTGGGAAATGTGTAAATGATAGTACAGAAAGAATATGTAGAAATAGCTCTTCTGGCAAGAAAAGAGCTTTTTTTTTTTTCTTCAAATTATACTTTTTATTTTGAGATGATTGTATTCTCTTGCACCTGTAAGAAATAATACAAATGGATCCCATTTATCCATTTAGGCAGCTTCCCCTGATGGTATCATCTTACAAAGCTATAGTAACGACCAGGATACTGACTAGATACAATCAAGATAGGGAACATCGTGGGGCCCCTGGGTGGCTCAGTCATTAAGCGGCTGCCTTCGGCTCAGGTCATGATCCCAGGGTCCTGGGATCGAGCCCCGCATCAAGCCCCACATCGGGCTCCCTGCTCCGCGGGGAGCCTGCTTCTCCCTCTCCCCCCCACCCTGGCTTGTGTTCCCTCTCTCGCTGTCTCTCTCTCTGTCAAATAAATAAATAAAATCTTAAAAAAAAAAAGATATAGAACATCGTGTTCAGGAAAGTCCTCCATGGTGCCTTTCATAACCACAGCCACTTCCCTTTGGAACCCACCTTAATCTGTTCACCCATGAATCTGCTCTCCATGTCTGTAAATTTGGGAAGTTTTTAGCCATTATTTCAAGTAGATTTTCAACTCTTCCCTCTTTTTCATCTCCTTCTGAGACTCTGATGACACAAATGTTAGCTCTTTTATCATAATCCTACTGTCCCAGTGGCTCTGTCATTTTTTTAGTCTACTTTCTCTTTGTTCTTTAGATGTGGTAATATCTATTGTCCGGTCCCTCCTTGGTTTCTTCCATTCTGCCGGTCAGAGCTTTCCTGTTTCAGTTCGGAAATTCCTGTTTGGTTCTTCTTCATATCTTCTGTTCCTTTGCGGAGGCTTTCTGCTTTTTTCATTCATTATAAGTGTCTTTGTAATTGCTCACTGAGTAATTTTTCTATGGCTGCTTTAAAATTTTTTGCCAGATATTCTAACATCTGTCATCTTGGTGTTGGCTTCTGTTGATTGTCTTTTTTCATTCAAAATCTTCCTGGTTCTTGGTATGCCAAGTGATTTTCCACTGAAACCTTATTTTCATATCATATTATGAGATGATGGGTCATAATATAAAGTTAATATATAATGTTAATATATACAATTAAAACCTTCTGTTTTAACTGTGCCACCTTATAACTGCCAGGTGGAAGTAGAAGTTCAGGTTTTCCACTCAACCTCTGTTGACACTGGATGCAAGGGGCTCCTCTTTCCTGCTGGGGGGTGTGAGAATTTCTGGCTCCCTACGTGGTCTCCACTGATACTGTGGTGGGTTTGCCCTGTGACTTCTGGGTGATGCTAAAAGTCCTGACTCTCCACTAGGACCCCTGCAGATACTACTCTAGCAAGGAGGGGAAAAGCACTTGCTTATTCCCTTACTGACAACGGCAGGTGGGTAATTGGGTCAGCCTGATCCCCAGCTTACACTTGGCCAGGAAACCAACCACCACTCCAGCAATTGACAAGCTCCCACCAGATGCCCCCAGTTGGAATTTGGGTGAAACTCTTTCCCAAAGGACAGAAACTGGTGCTCTCAGAGCAAGGTTGGAAGGCACTGGGTAGAGAAAAACAGTTGCCTAATAAATGATTACTGTTTTGGGGTAACTTAGAATGCTTACTTGGTTTTTGATCTTTTCAGTGATTACGGCCTCTTAAAAAAAGGCTGAGGGAGAAAGTGGAATAACACTCAAAGCTTTTTATCTCTTTGTTTAACATTCACTTGGTCTGCAAGTTTTTACTGAATGATTACTTTGTGTTAGGAATTGTGCTAGATACTGGGAACACATTGGTGAAAACCACACTATCCTTTTCTCAATAAGTATATAAATCTGTACTGAAAGTTAAGGGGTTAGGTTTGGCAGCTGGGTAAAAAGATTGGAAATTTTGGTTAAAATCATGTATTTGTACAATATCTTAATTTTAAAAAATTAAAATATACATATGGGAATACAGCTCTATTTTTAGCAGAAAAAGTGCTTTTCCTTTTTTTTTTTTGTTTAACCATGTTTTCCCCCAAGCTTTTACAGTGACTATGACAACATGTATTTCTGTTTTATAATCAGAAGGATGTTAAAAATCATGTAGTTTTTTTTTTTTCTATTTTTTTTTTTAAACTGGAACTTCTTAAACAGGATCATCTCTGTTCCTCTTTCTGGTAAGCAATGAGCCTTGACAATATGTAGAGACTTTAATTTCAAAGTTGATAAATATAGTTAGTCATTATAATTTACTTTTCACCATTAGCTTTGCTCTGATATTAAAGACACTGGGAGGTAACCCAACCAAAAAGGGGTGACAGCACCTCCAAGATGAACAATGGCTAGGTCAAGAGAGGCCATGGCCCTCCTCTCTGAGGAGGAGAGGATCTGAGAACCTGAATCCACCTGTTGTTTACCACCTGGGTAACTCCATATGTTTAAACTGTTTGAGCCTCAGTTTCTTCTCCTGTCCATTTCGTGACTTACAGACCTCAAAAGAGGGACTGAGAGCATCAGGGAGACAACAGCGTATTAAAAAAGCAAGTTGTTAGCTCTGCAGCAAATATCAAGATGAATTTCCAATGTTCCACTATTTTTTGGTGGTTTTATGTTCAACTAAGCCTCCAAAATCATCAGATTCAGGGTAGTTCTCTAAATGGTGGTGGAAAATCACAAAGACCAGGTGAGCAGAAACCTGCTTTGGATGAAGATAATGCAGATGTCAGCTCCTTTCTAGATTGGATTTGTGCTTTCAGGTGGAGTCTCTGAAAATGCATTTAACTCTTCCAAAATTTTAACAACCATCTGTCTTATTTAGGGCCCATGATGCAAGGGGTTTTTTTTTTGTTTTAAAAGATTTTTTAAAGTAATCTCTATACCCCAAAAGGGGCTCAAATTTACTACGCAGAAATCAAGAGTCACATGCTCTACAGAGTAAACCAGCCGGGCACCTCCACAAGTTTTTAAATTTAACTCTAGGGATATGGGAAGCACATATTATCAGCCAGGCAGTATGCTAGATTCTATATATAAAAAGATGAATTAAAATGCAGTCCTTAATCTCTTGGGACTAGAGCACTTTAAATGTAATCAGAACAGCACGAAACTATTTAAACTTGCCCTTGAAAATAAATGAATTTATGATATTTCATCAATACATGATTTGTCCTGCACAATAAAACCTAGATTTTTGAATTTTGAAATGTTCTATTTTATCTTTAAGAAAGAAAATTGTTCCAAATTTAAGGAAATTACCCAACTAGAACCCCAATTTCTGCAGGTGGTTGAAAGCCCTTTAAGAAAGAGGTAATTACAAAAATTCCAGTTCTCCATGAAGTTATTGCAGATGCTTATATATTATGAATATATATGTATCATAATGCAAGTTTAATTTAATTTAAAACATCGAACACCTATAAGGAGAAACTGGACTGTCTGCTTGCCTCAATACAAAGAAATTTGCGCCGTGAAGGCCCGGGTCTTCACAAAGATGCGATGTTATTAAATTCTAGGTATTTACATGGAAAGGGAATAAAACATTAAGAAGAATTTCCTTTTTCTGTTTACAGGAGGGAACACCAAAGGGCCATTTTAAGGCTCTATTAGTGCCATATAAATCTCCAAAAGAGGTTGTGATGTATTAAACAAAGGGTAACACCAACCACGAGAAAGAAAAAAAAAACAAAAATCATAGAAACGGGGAGAAAATACACTTCCTGGCTCGGAAGGTCTTTAAAAGTTCTGAGCCAGGAAACCTTCCGCACCGGGGCGGGGAATGTCTTTGGCTCTTCAGTGACTCCCTGCTAAGTTCCCCTCAAGTTTTCCCTCCCTCTCTCCTCCATTCCCCGCCTCAGTCCCCAAAAGTGGGAGCCACAGGAGAATGGCAGCACAGATACCTGACTTTGTCAGACCGAATCAGACTTCGGTGCCTGTTTATTTTAAAGGCCCCCACACCCCAAATAGGCCGGATTTGCAGGCAAACCCAAGGGATTTCAAACGACGCCTGGAAGCTCATCTTACAAGTTGGGGGCCACGCCTGCAAAAGAACAATAGTAAAATAGAGCCAGGAGCACGTCCCTTCGCCCAGAGCGGTTCTCCGGGGGGGCGCGAGGGCCTGCGCCTCGGCCGGGGCCCGGGGCCGGAGCCCCGAAAAGGCGTGCTGCCCCTTTAAAAGGCCGCGCGTCTGCGGGCCGGCCTTCCTCCCCGGGGCTCCAGCTGTGATTGACGCTGGGCGGCGAGAGGAGGCGCCTGGCGCTAACAAAAGTCCGGCCCGCGGGTGCGCCGCGCCGGGCCGCGAGTCTCTGCTCGCTCGGGGCACCCGCAACAAGTGGCCGCCGCGCCCTCCCCGGGGAAGCCGCGGGCGCGCAGGGGCGCCGGGAGGAGGCGGCCGAGCCGGGGAGCCCCTGCCGCCCGCGCGGCTCAGCCCCACCGCAGAGGGATCGGGGCGGGCGGATGGGGACCCGGCGGCGGCGGCGCGGCGAGCCTCTGGGCGGCCCCGGGGCGCGGGCTCTCCGCCGCGCTGCGCCCGCTGGCCCGGAACGCGGATTCTAAGAGCGGCGGCTGCCCCCGGCCCCACCCGGAGCCATCGGGGGTGCCAGGCGGGGACGGAGCGCCCCCTCCCACCGGAGTGCAGGGGCCGCCCCCGGTCGGAGCCCGGCCCCGGAGCGTGGGGTATGCGCAGCTAACGGTCCCGTCGGGCGGGCTTTCCTCTGGTGGAGCGCGCAGGCGGTGCGCCCCAGCTATGGAGTGTCCGGGGAGACGGCGGGCATGACGGCGGCAGGATGGGCGCGAACAATGGCAAACAGTACGGCAGTGAGGGTGAGTGGGCCGTCCGCCCTCAGACTCCGGGATCGCGCCCCCCTCCCTTCCCCCTCGCCCTCCCGTCTGGGAAGGAAGGTTCTCGCACGCTACAGTGGCGCACCTCCATTTGGCACCGTGTCCGGGCCGTCACCTTCCCCTGTGGCACTGAGTGCGGGGGCGCCCCGAGGATGCTTTCCCACCGTGGGGGTCTCATTAAGCAACTTCCCAGGTCGTCTTTGGGACGGCTCAAGTTTCATTTCTGCCGTATTTCTGATCACATGTGCCTCAACTTTCCTTTCCTAAGCATCTGGGGTTTAGGATGATGGTTTGGCAGAGGGCGGAAGGCGCTTTTGAAAAATAACGCTGTGAAAACTTTCCCAGGCCTTTGTGCTCCAGTCCCCTGGACTCTCCTGTAGCAGGAACAACTTCTGGAAGAAAACGAAGTTAAGTTTCCATTCTCTGCTCAATGCCCCTGAGCTGACAGCTTCGTGAAACACCACCTATGGGCCTCGCGAGGCGAGGAGTGGCCGGGGGCTTTGTCTGGGCTCTCTCGGGGCTCAAGACGGGCAAAGGACCATCTGTTACGTGGGGCTGGAAATTGCACAGAAATATTGCCTGTCAAGTGGTAACTTGGAAGCTGGGGAAACTTTAAACTCCACCTACTCCTAAAAGGATGATGGATGTGTGGGTTGGCTTCTCCCTCGCTCCTCCTCCTCTTTGCATAAAACCGTAGTATTGTAATCCAGCTGATTAGCAGCTTGCCCCCGATATGCATCCTGCCTGGGCTTTTTCCACCGTTCAGAAGTTTGTAAGGTTTGTCTTTCTTGAACTTGGCTGGAGGGGAGTGGAAGAGACGGGGTTGCTTTTATAAGCCCTCCCCCAGGGGACAGGCGGTTACAAACGGGGTCCAGCGCCTGCAGACTGGTAGGAATGCAGAATGGCTGTTCAGCATGTGGTGTTAGGGAAACTCCTATCATCCTGTTCAGAACTTTGAGGTGTGGTCACAGAACGTGGATGTCTCTCCCCGTGTTTGTGTCTGTTCGTTCTCAGCAGCTTGGTGAAATTACAGCAGAAACCGACCCTAGTAAACCATATCCACAGGAGCCTTTTGTTTTAATCATTCTTTTCCAGATCACTATGTTCTGAATTCCATATATATATATATATATATATATATATATATATATATATATATATATATATATATAATCTCCTTATTCTGGGCAGTTTCGTGAGAGAGAATTTTTTTTTTTTTTTAATAATTTCATTTAAAAAAAAAGGTTAAACGGTTGTCTTTTTAGATAGCACATGTGAAAATAAGCCAACAAAGATTACTGGAGAATCTTGGACATTCCCCAGAACTTCTCAATGTTTTAAAAATTTGCGGAAAAATGAAAGATTAAGCCTTCTTACTCTGAATATTAAAAAGCTTGCAGGGAGTAAAGTGTGTGCCTGTCACTTGTGGATGTGCATACATTGTGATACTTGAACACGGTGTGTGTGTGGGGGGGGGGGAAGGGACACCCCAAGAGGTAAATGGAGTCAGGGCTCTGCGTTCTTGAATGAAACCCCTCCAACACCCCTCCTAATCTTCTGCAACTTGTTCTTATATCCCAGCATTCTGGTATTGTAGTGTGTGGTGTATGACGACTTCCTGTCTGAACAGCAGAGTTTTCAACCCTTGGGAGAGAAAAGGAGAGACAGAGGACTAATGATCTCCAGCTGTTATCCGTAAATGCTACCTCTGCATTTTCACTTCAGCTGAAGTGAAATTTTACTGGGATCAGATTTAGATACACTGTGGAACTTTTTATAGGGAAAACCTCTTGGGCTCAGCTGATTCAAGGGAACCAATAGGAAGCTTTGGGTGGTAACTGAGTTTTAGCTGGAGGGACACATTGTGCTTAGTGTCCAACTCTCTTCCAATGCTTGGAGATTCCTCTGTGATCAGCAAGGAAAAAATAGAGAAGTAGAAGTAACATGAACTTAAAAATCTTTTCTTTCCTCCAGTTACATTGGACTTCTCCTAAATAGGATTATAACATATGTACAGTTGACCCTTGAACAGCATGGGGTTTAGGGACACCAGCTCCCCTACTGTCAAAACTCTCAGTATAACTTTTGATGCCCTCAAAACTTAACAGCTAATAGCCAACTGTTGACCAGAAACCTTACTGATAGCATAGACAGTTGATTAACACATATTTGGTATGTTACATGTGTTATATGCTGTACTTAGAATAAAGTAAGCTAGAGAAAAGAAAACGTTAAGAAAATCATAAGGAAGAGAAAATAGATTTACAATTCTATACTGTATTTATAAAAAAATTTGCACATAAGAGAACCCACACAGTTCAAACCTGGGTTGCTCAAGAGTCAACTGTGATAACAGAGACAGTTGATTAACACATATTTGGTATGTTACATGTGTTGTATGCTTTTACAATAAAGTAAGCTAGAGAAAAGAAAACGTTAAGAAAATCATAAGGAAGAGAAAATAGATTTACAGTCCTATACTGTATTTATAAAAAAATTTACATGTAAGTGAACCCACACAGTTCAAACCTGGGTTGCTCAAGGGTCAACTGTAATTGGTATCTGTCAACAGTGTGTTTTTGGATGGCCAAATATATGCAAATAAGCCTGTTGGAATTCAATGTGTCAATGCTGTCTTATCTAAAATGTCAAATTTCAAAGAACGTGAAATCAAACCTTCAACATAGTATCTCTATTAAGACTGAGTATTAAGACAGTTTTAGTAGATTTGGTACAACTTAGGTATGGTTTGAAATTAAGATTTATTTCAAAGATTTATTTCAAACCATACCTAAATTGTACTAAAAGGGGGAAATTATTAGTGGTTGCATATCATTGAATGCAGTGAGAGACTGCATTCACCTGCATTCACTGCTCAACTCTAAAACATAGGGGTTTGTGTAGACTTTAACAATCTGCTCTTTAAGTATGTTTTAGAGTTGACGCCATGATGTAAATGCAAAGTAGTGTTGAACTATTGGAATGTTTAAAACTTAAGTATTTCAGTGTAATCTTACTTTCTCTTGCTCCTGGAAAACCCCTTTTTCATTAAAACAACAAAAATTCTTCTTGAGACTTACCTTAGCAGGTGCAACAAGGACGGAGATTTCCTATTCTTTATACTCCAAGGACCAGGACATCAGCATCACCTTGGAGCTTGTTAAAAATGCAGAATCTTGGGTTCTTCCTAGAACTGAATCACTTATCGTGCATATGTTAAAATTTGGGGGAAGTTCTTGTGTTGAGCAGAGAGCGTTAATTTGGGAGTCTGTAAATTTGAGTCCAGCTTCAGTTTAACTACTGTGACCTTTTTCAATTCTCCTGAAATCAAGAAAGACCTGAAGTCTTTTTTCTCTAGAGTGAGGAGAGGAATTCCTTACTGACATTATCTATCAAGATCTAATTCTTGAGCACACAGCCATTCATTTTATTTTGCTCTTACAATGCCTTAATGGACCACTTAACAGAGATTAGCCTTGGAAGGTATGTTATGATAAATAAGGAAGTTAAGACTGTTACTGCCATGAAATCCATAAGTGCCCCTCCCCGATTTTGTCATCCCCTTTTCCCTCATCTCTGTCTTCCTCACTTATTCTCCCCTCCTCTCCTAATTCAACCAGTTGTGAAATCCCTGCTTTTCCCTTTAAATTCTAGGTATGGGTAAATAATGGGTGTTTCCAAAGTGTTTTGTTTTTCTAAATACTTAGTGACTATTCAGGTTAATGGTTTAATTTGTAGCCCTTCCTCCCCCCACCCCCACCCAAACTTGGATTTTGCTCCATGAAAAAGTTATCATACCATTCCTGATTTTTAGATTTCTAGAAACATAAATGAATATCTAAATGAATAGTATGTTCTGGTAAATTCCTTTATGGAGGTCTGTTTTTTTCTCTTTATCTTCTTCCATAACGTGTAACTTTCAGCCTGTGTGTAGAAATCTGGGAAATGAGTTGGAGTGAAGCAAAGCCATTATGACCATTAGCTTTGACTCCAGTTAAGCCAAATAAATAAATCTTGTTCGAGTAGGAAGAGGCAGGGTGCTTTCCCCTGCCTTTTAAGGTGTCGGAGCCTCACCCTCATTTACTCAGTGGTTTCATTGTTATGTTTACTCTACTCCCGCAGGTCAGGGGCGGTAACACACAGTTAACAGCTCCTTTGCAAAATCCTGGGTGGTGTTGAATTCGAGCTGATGAGGCCATAGTGATGGGGTCTAACCCTTGGTTGCTCTACTGCTCTGTCATGTGCCCTGGGCCACTTTTCACCATGTCACATCCGTGCTGTCAGATATGTGGAGAGCCAGTTGCCTGAACACTAAATCATCGCTCATCCATCACCACCTTGGGAAACGTATCTTGGAATAATAATAATAATAATAATGGCAGCTAATGTTTATTGAAAGCTTACTGTGTCCAAGCATTATTCTAAGCCATTGACATACACCGACTCATGCAATCCTTATGACAGTTCTAAAGGCAGGCACTCTTAAGGTCCTCATTTTACCAATGGGGAAACACAGCTGCAGAGAGGATGAGCATTTCTCCGGGTCCTACGACTAGTACAGGTGGAATTGGGACTCAGGACCAAGTCTCTGTAAACCCAGAGTTATTTATTCCTTCATTCAACTAATGTATGCTGACTTCTTATTTCTTACTCTGTGCCAGGAACTCTTCTGGACAGTTGGGATGCATCAGTAAGCAGATTAAGATCCTGTATTTGTCAGTCTTATCTGTGTGTGTGTGTGTGTGTGTGTGTGTGTTGGGACGGATGGGAAGTCGAACAATTAGCAAGTGTATACACACACACACACAGCGATTCAGTAAACCATGTGATACATTCTAAGGGGCTGATGTCTCTGAATAAAAAAGTCATCAGATTATTGGGGATTGGGAGGAACTGGTTGTTGCCATTTTAATTAGAATAGTCACCATTGGCCCTGTTGAAAAGTTGGCATTTAGACCAGGACTTAACGGAAGTGGAAGACT